TTTTACAGAACAATCCCAAAAATTCCTGGTCGGATTTAGGTCGGCATTTAGCCCTAGTGGTTTGTAGATTTTATAACAAAATTATTAGCTACGCACTTTTCACTTAATGAACGGCTACGATTTCATTAGTAAAAATTTAGTGATCCTGGGCAAATTTGATCATTTCTGGCTCTGCCAACCAGGATTTTGATGCATTCTGACCAGGAATTTCCTGTATAAATTCATGCCTACCTTTATTATAATTTTTCATATGATTATTTGTAACTGGGAATCTTCCTATGGAAGATTTCCAGTCATAGTACGATCTCGTGGGAAATTATAATAATAGGGTATTAAAATAAATATTACATCATAGATAATAGCTAATACATACCATATTTGTTATTACAGAGACAATTATCGTTAGAATGTGAAAAATTGAAGCGTTTTCTCAAACAGGATTATGAACAACATTTCTATATTACTCTACAAGGAACAACATTCCATGATACTTGCATTAATCATTGTCTTTTATATGCATTCGGACAGTGCGACGAACTCCATACTCAAACTTGTAATGACTGTTATACTTTTTTTCAATTTTTTGATATATTACGTAATAATATTAGTATTTTAATTTACGAAGAGTTGGATGATCTGTACGATCATTTGCTCTATTACTTGGCTCATCAGACAAGAAAGGCGTATTTAAATGCTCAATTGAATACAAACTTGTTAAATCTGAATGAAAAAACCGCTTTAATACTAGTCGACTACAAAATGAAAATACTATCTAAAACAGCACGTGAAACTAAACAAGATTGGTTTGGCAAAAAAGGCTGGTCTCTTCACTCAGTCCTTGTATATACTACACAATCCAACTCAACAAAATTACGAATTCAAGCATTTGATCATTGGTCCATGAATTCACGTCAAGATTCGTGGTTCACAGCATCTTCACTTCATGCAGTAATTGAAATATTAGATCCAAAACCTGAATCAGTGATAATAATATCAGATAACGGGGTCATTACTATAATGCTGATCTAATGATAATAATGGGATATTGGCCGGAATGGTATAGAATTAATGTAAGCAGATGGATCTTTTTGGAAGCAGAAGAAGCGAAAACTACAATCGATTCTCATCATACACAGGTACGATAACTGCTAGTAAATTATTTATATTACCTACACTCGTATATTGACTTTTATTTTATTTTTTTTATTACAACGAATCAGATATCATATGCAATCAATCGATATATTCGTTTAGGCTTTGATGTAACAGTAGAACAGGATATTGAGAATGCGATCAAAAGAATTAAAGGGACTTCTGTTGCAAATCTGAATCCTATTCGGGACAGAGGTAGTGGTAATAATATATTACCTGGAAATTCTAACTGGTTTGAGTGGCAATGGCCAACAACAGGTGAATTTTCTGGATGTATTAAAGCACGGGATATTCCTGGTATAGGTGAATGGAAAATTTTTACTATAGCAGAATTAGATAAATTTCGCAAAAAAGACATTCATAAGCCCACACCACAAGTATTGACACATACTACACCTTCATCAGAATGGGAAATGCTAATGCCGAATTCATCACGTATGTTCTTAATACTGTTCAAATTTATTATATTCAGTAATAACTAGGCTTTTTTATTGTCAAGGTCTTATTCCGAGTCGTCTT